CGACAATAATCATGAAGTTGTTTTACAGAAAGGATTGCTTTAAAGGAATTTTTATGAAACCACAGAAGGATTTTGTTAACGGTTGATAAATAATTACTTGCTCACTTGGTTCTCAGTAATGCGGATAATTTCCAAGACAAGAGATTTTCTGCTGCACTTGCACCTTCCGCCTCCATGGAAACCGAGTTTTTGGCGCCAAAACTTGAGATTCCTAAGAGGTGGATTTGTGATGCGGCCATGTTGACTGCAACTCCAGGAATAGGTTTCGTATCTGCTTGTTTCGTCCGGACTCTGTGCCGCTTACCATCAAATCTGAGTCGAAAAAGTAACATGGCTGTGAGTAAATGATAAACGGTCCAAGAAAACCTAAGCTACAGGTGATTCGAGAAAATCTGCAGCCGGCCGCTGACTTTGAGTTTGATGCAGTGTTGCCAACCCGTCAGTGGGAGAAGTAGCTATTGACTATTGTAGAAGGTGCTGAATAATTTCACTCTCTGGTTTGCATAGTTTGTCTTGAGTGAAGTAAGTAGTTGTGTTTCCATTACAAATGTGTGTAAATCTTTTTTCTGCTAAAATGGGAGAAAAAAAAACAAAAAACGCAATTTCGATGTTTCCGTTTAAATAAGAAATGAAATAAAAATCAAATGTGAATCAGGCTGTCCAGCTCGATAAAAATCCTGGCAGCGACACGTTAACAGTTACATAACATGTATCAGTGAAAAAAAATGTTTCCATTTAAATTTTGCTAAATACATTTACTTTGCATCTACTGAACAGCCGCCTTTCCTTAGCACAAAAACGTTTTATAGAAAAACATGTTTTTGTTTCTCAAAATTGTCCTTTCCTGCATTCTGATTCTGCAAGTTCATCCACACAGCGAAGCGGGATAAATGTTTCCGCGGATAAACATTTGTGAGCCGTTTGCATTCAAAACCGGTGTCTGATATTCAAACGGTCCCAGGAGAGACGGGCTTGTCTCACTGCGATCCCCTGAAGGCACACAGGCTAGTCAGGGGTCCATTAACAGGCCTCCCTGTGTGAAACCCGATCCACTGTCTCTGCTGATGTGTGTCCGGATAAGACTCTGGCACACAAACACACACCGCAGCGAGCAGAAGAAAGTTCCTCCTCGCTCCTCCCGTGCGCTCTGCGGAGCTGTCCAGATAAGTTTGCTTTCAGGAGGAAGTGATCGTCACGAGGTGTCAGAGGTGAAAGGGCAGCGGGGGTTATCTGGAGGTGAGATCTCGACCTGATCCCTGTCCTCACCTCTCCTGAGTTTGCCATTTAGGCCTCTCCCTTCTTTCAACAGGGGATTTGAGCGCTGCCCGCTGACTTCCTGCCACTTCACGTTCTATTTTTGGATGTTTTTTGTTTTTTTTTCTTTAAAGCTTCACGCCTCGAGGCAAAAGTAAATTAAAGCTACAAAAAATTAATCATACTTAAGATAAGCAGCTTGCAGCCGGCGATACGGCGGCGGGCAGTGAGATCTGTAACAGTGGATTGTAAGGCAGAGCGCTCTGTTCCTGGACATGCCGCTCCTGCTGCACAATGGAAAACCTTCTGAAGGAGTTTCATTACAGCGTTTTGGAAGAAAACACTTAGAGATAAGTTCCTCGATTTTAACCAAGGTGCCCTTGAATAAAAAACAGGTGAAGATCCACGTAAGGAGTTGATTTCTCCCGTTTGAAGTGCCGTTGCGGCGCTCTGACTCTGAATCACGCTAAGCCCGTCTTAGGCTGAGGCTTCTTCTGTTTCGGCTCTTCTTCCCTTTTCGTCCTCTGTTGCCTCGAAGGACGGACGACTCCTCCACCGTGTGTCTTAGCATGCTGACAGTTGAACGGACTCGCTTTTTTTTTTTTCTTCCCCCTTACGAGGAAACTCGTAATGCATCTTGTGTTAATGCGACTTTCCGTGTTCCAGCACTGAACATATAATCAAAATGCAACAGCTCTGCGACGAATTCGACACCCGCAAGCAGAAGCGGTACCAGTTAGACGTCCTTCACGGCGCATTACATAACACCTGCAGCACACGAAGCGTTCCAGCCGCTCACGCTGTACATTGTTCCTCTGGAAATCTTCTGTCCTACATTTCAGGCCTTGAAATGAATCGTTCCTCTTCCATATTCTGATTAAGTTTAAGTCTAAGGCTTCTTATTAGCCTTTGACCCTGTGTGCTGGGGTTTCCCTGAGCGGTGTAGATGCACCTACAGCTGATATACCTCCCTATCAACCATTGTGTGTGTGTGTGTGTGTTTGTGTTGTAAGGGAGAGCTCATGTATTCTATTTCCAGTACTGGTCCTGAGCTACTTTAATCCCCTCGCCTTGTCTCTATTGCCATTGGCAATAGAGAAAGAAACCCCCCGAGCCCCCAGTCTGCCCACCCCTCCCAGGCTTTCTGCCTCTGTCTTGCTGGGATTGAGTTGCAAGTTTACTGAAAATAGCCTGTGAGAGGCAGAATCTTTTCTGTCAGGCAGACAGAGGGTTTGATAGAGACAATCCCGGCCGAGGAGACAGCTCTGCGAGTGCTGCGCTACGGGGGGAGAAAAAAAAAACTAGAGTCAGGCATTTGAGGGAGGTAAGACCTCAAACTGTGAGTGTGTGTTTGTGTGTGGTGTGTATTTGTAATCCTGTAAATGAATGTGCACTCATGTCATGTTTCCAGCTTTTATAGCTCAGATAAGGTCTTTTTTTCCTCTTTTTTTCTTGATTTTCTTTGGTTTTCTGAACAAAAAGTGTTTTTTCAACATATGACAGGGGCATATTTATAATTATATTAGAGGAGGTTAATAAAAATTGACTTTTAATGCTGAAATATCAGCTTACTGAAATGTACACTGTACAGCACATGATTAGGGCAACTTTTTTCATAAACCACTGCAACAGGCGGGTTTAGTATGTAAAGCTCAGCCTGTGACTTTGCTGATGTCTTGGGGAAGAACCAGGTTGCTGCTGTTGGTAAAACACCAACAGCAGCAGACGACATGAGATTTCTCCATTTTTTCCTTCCACTAAACTTTCCATTAATATTATTATTATTTCTGTTGCCATTAATGTGACTTACCATCCTCGTGAATGGTGTCACTTACTGTTCAACAACTGCCAAGTCAGATTTTGTAGGCCATTTATGTTTCATTTTGAATTTAATTTTGTGATTTGCGATCTTTCCAACTATAAACCATAAAAAAGTTTCTCTTCTTTTTTTCTTTTTACTAACTGACTTTCTCTTTCAGATTGAATCTTTTTGGAAGCATTAATATTTGATTGTGTGTCACATTTTTGTGTTTTTGTGAAAAAAGAGATCATGAAGATCAAACCAGGAGGTGATGTCACAGCAGGACCTAAAGATTTTCCTTTGTCGCAGTAAAATCATCCATTTTTGTGGATGCTTCTGGGAAATATCTGTCAGTAATTCAAACCCTTTCAGTCTGAAACTCTGCTCATCTCCGCAGAGTTGCTGTAACTCTCCACATGTCACGCTGAATCGTACAGAAACATGGATGAAAGGAAGCAAGGGAATCTGTATTTTTGAATTTTTCTATTTTAGCTGATGGTGAAGCACTGTGTGGTCAGGAGTATTTCTGTTTATGGATGGACTGCATGAGCTGCGCTTCTCGTAGCGATGCTGTTAAACAGGACTCATATTCTGGGCTGTTGGAGTTTAAAAAAAAAAAAAAGATGAAAAAAGAGGCCTGGAGCCACAGCAGCCCTGTGAGAACAGCAGCATAATGCTCTGTATTACTGTAAGGGAGTTTTCTGACCCGGAGCTGGAAGGTCTAATGAAAATTGCTGAATTGCAATATGGAGTTAGATACACCAGTCCTACAAAAACCCCCCAAAACCTATAAATGGAACAAATGCATAAAGTTCTCAGTTTTGTTTGACAACTCGCCTGGTTTATTTTTTCTAGATGGACTAGATTAATAGATTAACAGCCTGTACTTGATCTTTTGGTTTCTTGGCACTTGATCAGTTTAACGAGACAAGATATATATATTTTTTAAGTTCAAAGCTTTTACGTTTTCAAAGCTTCAAACTCCTGCAATGATTTGTGATGAATAAGTTGGTTTCTCTCTTGTTCTGAACTCTGTAGAACCATATCCTCTTATCTTGAACCTTGGTCATAAAATAAAATTCAGAGTACACCGCAAGCTTTAGGCTTTCACACAATTATTTTCTGTCCTACACCCAGAGCGCGTTCTCAAGCTGACAACGTTGTTGTGTCCACATGTATATATTTAATAAAACAGCTTTCATTTGCTTTGCCAACTTGTGCTGAACCAGCAGACTTTTACATTTCTCATTTTGTTATGAGGTAGTTGTTTTGGCTAGCTTGTGTAATGAACTGCGTTTAGTCATTGTGAAGTACGTGCATCCGGCCATGCAACATTTATCCTCTCTGGAAGCGACGTTTAGGCAGTTGAAATAATTTGACCCTCCTGGCTTTTCGGTTTCAGCAGAAGGCAAGGAGAGGCCTCTTTGGGAGAACATTTCTCAGACAGAAGGTATCAGGCAGCAGCTGAAGTTGTGTTTAAAAGCTGCAGTTTGCACTGCTGCTGCAACAAATTCTGCCTCTTTATTCCGCTGTGCTGTTAAATTTTGCAGCGTAGTTATGCTAGCACCGAGCATTTTGGAGCCAGCGGGGCTTGTAGGGGGCATGAATAAAAGAGTTTCTGAGGTTGAGTGGTGCAGCATCCCCGCCGCACCAGATTTAGATCTAAGAGAGGAGGGAAGAAGACTTCTGGGACTGCTAATAATTCACTTTACATAATTTCCTCTTCTTTTTTTCTTCTTCTTCTTCTTAAGTTTGGTCAATTGGTTAAAACTCCACACGACAAACTTCATCCTAATGCCTGCTTTAAGTAACATGTATTTAACTCCACAGGCGCTAGCTAGCAGCCGCTGTGCAGTGAGCTGTGTGATATTGCCTGTTTTGAGTTCAGAGGGTCTGCTTTTGTGACCCGTCGGCGTGTGTGTTTGTGTGTGTGTTGGTGTTTCAGTTGAACTCTCCGATGAACTCGGTCAGCAGCACGGAGGACATTAAGCCCCCGCTGGGCCTCAATGGCGTGATGAAGGTGCCCGCTCAGCCCTCAGGCACGGCTCTGTCGCTCACCAAACACATCTGCGCCATCTGCGGCGACCGCTCCTCAGGTGAGTGCACCGACGCCGGGACGGCCGTCAATACACCCCAGGTGTGTCTCAGTCAGTCGGAATGTTATTGACAAGTTCAATTAGTCGTTTCATTCAAAAAGTGAATTTTTTCCGTTTCACTCGGCTCGGTGGTGGAGCAGGAACACCACTGGGTTCGATTCCCTGGGTTCTTTCGCTGCCCTACTTCCTGTCCTGCTACTCATAAATAAAGGCCACTATTTCCCAAAAAAATAAAAATTTCTTAATATGTTCTGTATATTTGTTACACACAGAATGCTATATTTTAAGCATTCAAAATGGTCACTTTAGCTTAGAAAAACAGATTTTTCTTGAGGATAATCAATCTTTAACGGTAAGATAGAAAGCAAGGGTAAGACACAGAGTGCTGCATCCATGCACATTATTAAGAAATTGAGTGAAAGGAAAAAATACAGTAGAAACTGTACCAAGCCCTGGAGAGGATCAAGCAGTAAGAGTAGATTCAAAAGGCACAGAGTGTCTGTGTATGTGTATAACTGGAAAGTTGAGTGGAAGGAAAAGGTTTTGCAAAAGCAACAGGGATATCTGCAACTCATTCAACATTTTTAGGGAGATTTATACAGTGTGGACTTTGCTTGGAGTCATCACTTTAAAAGAAACCGCACATGGACATGTGACTGCTGTGGGGCTAATTAATATATTCTTTTAGACAGCACAAATAATACGTCAGTTGTAGCCTCTTAATTTTTCACTACTTCACTTTTTCCATTCACTAAACTTCATTAATATGCTTCCTCAGTCCTCTTTATTGACATTTGTGAAGTCTATTTTCGTGAAGGTCATAACATCCTCATAAAATAATAATATCTCTCCTAAAATCTGTTTTTATTGGTCTCCTGTTGGGGGTTTTTATGAGCTCATCAAAAATCAACAGGAAAGAAACTCTACCCCACTCTGTCCCTGATTATATCACCATGAGCTGTTGATCCCTGGAAGGTTTGAAATAATCTGTAAACAGCTCGGATGACACCGTCTCTCATTATTACCTAATTAAAAGGAAGTCGGACTACCCCCAAATCTGGCTTAATCCTTCTGGAGCCGCACTAGAAAACCTCCGAAGGAGATCTAAACACGATCGCCGGCAGAGAGCAACCCCGCTGACCACTCTGGCACAACTACAGACTGCCGCCTCTTGCAGTCGGACTCCTCCTGGAAGGACAACAGTCAGCGTAATTCTTCAGAAATCTCTGCTATGTGGTAGGGAAGCCAGAGTCAGGCCACACTTTGGGGGGAAAAGCACATGAAGGCTGCAGCAAGGAGGCGCTTCAGAACCAACATAAATCACGAGGCAAAAGGTCTTAAAGTTAGAAGCAACCAAACCTCACATCGACTTCTACTGAAATACAGAAATACTGTATGTGTGGGAAACTGCACAACGTTGATGTTATTAGTGGGGGAAACTAAAACCTACCAGAGGTGCAGCTGGAGGTGAAAACAAACAGACTGAACCGAATAGAAATATATTATTGTTCAGTCCCAAATACAAAACACATAATTCTGACAAACTTGGCCTAAATTTTGCTTTGGCTTTAAAAAGTGTAAATCTGCAGGACAAATCAGCAAAATACATTGGTTTCTCTTTTAATATTTCAAAATTGCTTACTCTGATTTGAAAAGTCAAATCTGACATTGCTGAAAGTGCTGTTTAACAAAGCATCTTCCTTCCAAAGTCATGATAATCCTGAGTTATTGTTTGACCTAGAGTAACTGAGGTTTTTGCAGAGTCAAAAATTTAATCAATTCCTTATTTTTTTATTTTCCAGCATAAACAAATAGATGACTGTTGAATCATTTTTCCAGAGAAGTCCATTAAAAGCTTTTAACCTTTTGGGGTTAGGTGAATTTTGTTGTCATCCTGCGTCATCGGAGTTGCTTCCGCCCGGTAGGGGAGGAGGGAGAATCAAAACAGTGTTAAATAGCAAGTCATGCTTCATTTGGTGCTGCTCAAGGGCTTTATTTATCTTCTCTGGTGGTCTAAGCGGCAGATATTGAACAAAGAAACAGTTTGAGGAACACTGAAGATGGAAAATGGGCTCCATCCATCATAAAAAACAAAAGCTGTGGCTGTTAGGAACAAGAGGCCGACATGAGAACAGAGTCCTGGTGGAATCTGTCCTCAGTGAGCCTTTGTTTCCCCTCACAACCACAACATAAACTACGGACTCAAGAGTCTGTTCACTTTGATAGAACAAAGAAATAATTATGATCAGATGCTTATCGGACTACAGCTCCCATATGCTGCTAACATGACCGTTAGCAGCATATGTTAGCGCCGTGTCTTCAGTGTAAGTAGCAGGTTGTTGGCTAGCAGCTGGTTTTGTGTTTTGAGCACAACTTGAGTGCAGCAGTTCTTCTTAGTTATTTATTCAGAGCTGTGTGTCACATAAATAAGCACCTGTGGAGAGCACTGGGATGCCTGCTTTGACCCAAGGTGAAAAACAGATGTAATCTTCATGCATTTTTATGTCACAGACACAAACCTTTACTTTGCTTTGGGGGGAATTTATGTCTTAGACCAACATGTAATTTGGTAGTTAGGAACCACAACCATCTGCGAATGGCTTTAATCCACAAATACTTCGGATCCCTTCAAACAACGCTGCCTATTTTAATAGTTCAAACACCAAACGTACTTTAATATGCATTAATGCACACAGAGAAAACTGAAAAAAGAGAATGGCGCTCCTGGATTGGCTGGTTTGCAAACACCAAAAAAGCTAAATGCACAAATAATGAACTATGAATAGGTGAGGATCGACTGTGCATGTTCTTTTATTTTATTTTATTTTATTTATTTAGTTAGTTCTGCAAATAAAAATCTGAAAAGTGTGGCATGTATGTGTATTCAGCTCCTCAGTTACTGTATACTATCAGCTTTTTACGTCTTCAGACTAAAATTTAGTCTGTTGTAGCTCTGGCTGCATGTTTAGTGTTTTGGTTCTGCTCTAATCTGAGCCTCCACTAAAGTATTTATTCAGAATGGTCCTTCATGTCCCTGCAGAAAAAAAGCATCCTCCACAGCATGATGCTACCACCACCATGTTTCAGTTTAAGAATGGTGTGTTCAGTCAGTGTTAGTTTTCTGTTTAAGGTGGAAAAAGAAATTGGTGGCATTGGATTCCTATTCAGGAGTATCAAACCAAAGGGAGCTACATTTGTATGCATGTCACGATCCACAGATTTCTATTGGATATATGGTTTTCCTTCACTGTTAAACCTTTCTTCGTGTTGGTCTAGGACATGAAATCCCAATAAGAGACATTAAACTCTGTGGTTGTAACGTGACAAAATGTGGAAAAGAGAGCAGCACATGGGAGGGATTATTGGAAAAGTCATTTCTACCTTTCCTTGTAATACCAGTCATCTGGATATTGATTTTCTTTACTTTTTTTGCTATATTGCTTCACTTTGCGAATAATAATCTCGTGCATGCCCTGGATTTATTGCTCTTTCTACTGTATTTTGTCTGACATGAGACTCGGTGAGGCACAATCCAGGAAACATCCTGTTAAAAACCCAAAGCAAACAGCCTCTGTCTTCTCCCGTTTCCAGGAAAGCACTATGGTGTCTACAGCTGTGAAGGCTGCAAAGGCTTCTTCAAACGAACCGTTCGCAAGGACTTGACCTACACCTGCCGCGACAACAAGGACTGTGTCATCGATAAGCGCCAGAGGAACCGCTGTCAGTACTGCCGCTACCAGAAGTGCTTGGCCATGGGCATGAAGAGAGAAGGTACAGCACATACCGTTGAGGATAAAGTCCTGCTTAAACAAAACCTGCATCCTGTTCCAACCTGCTTCAGTCAGTGTGTTTTCTTCCCAGAAACCGTTCTGTAATTTAATTTAGGTTTCACCTCTAGAAGCAGAAAGCTGAATGTTTAATATTCTGAAGCAGGATATTTATTCAACAAACTTCTTTTTTTTATTGCAGTAGCATGAATTTTAAAAATACCTTAAATAAAGAAAAACTTGAAAAGATCATCCGCTTCGTGCCAAGAGAAAACTGCTTATTAGTCAAACATTTAGACTAAAAATGTTTGACCAGTAAGCTAAGCTTCCTAGAAACCTCTATCAAAATTTAAAAAGGAATGAATGAATGTAAAAAATAATAATAACAATAATAATATAGCTACATTTATTTTAAAGGTGTTGTTAAAGATGCTAGCAAGAATACGTAGGTATGTCATGCAAAGGCTTTTTCCTCTTTTTCAAAACAAGTTAGTGATTTAGTCACACACATGATGAAGAGTCTTTATTTAATGAATTATATCTACTTCTAAAAACATAAACATTGTCAGTTGTTCAGCAGATTTATAATTGATGTCAGTTTTTATGAATTAACACTTTTTTTCCTCATTTTTGACATAAAATCCATTAGTTTATGTGGATATAAATTTGGACCATTGATCCATGTTCATACCACAACTGAACAAGAAAATCAAACTGCAAACATTCATCATTGAAGAAGAGAGCTTGCTCATGTAAATAAAAAAATAAAAAATTTGTCGCCATGGTAATTTTCACATGTCACTGTTGCATCTTCTGGACAAAGAAAACTCCCTGGAACTCGACGGCGACGTTTCGCCCTCCCCTGACCCTCTTGCCCGGCGAACAGCTTTGATTAAACCCGGAGGCGGTCGATCAGATCTGAGCCTGGCTGTGGAGACGTCAGAGATCGGGCCACAGCGGCCCTCGGAACCAGGAGCGTTTTGTTATGTGAGGGGAAGAAAAACAGGCAGCGAGGTGTGAATTTTAACACTCCATGAAGGTGTTAAAAATATTTGTGCTCTCAGCAGCGCTGTTAAGCTCTCCTTCTCACATTGAGCAAATAAATCAATGCGTCTCTCCATTGTGGTTAAGAGGTTTTTAAATGGAGAGTGCAGATTACGGTGCCTTGCAAATGTAGTCACACCCCTTGAGCTATTTTTTACATTTTGCCACATTAAAACCACAAACTGCACTGTATTTTATTGTGATTTTATGTGATAGACCAACACAAAGATAGTCGTGGAAGGAAAATAAGACGTGGTTATCAAAAGTAGAAGAATGAAAAATAAAAAGAACTCTCTTTTTGCTGTAATTTTCCAGCTGCCTTCCCAAGATTTACGTGTTAGGTAAGAGTTTTTCTGACAAACAGCCCCCAGATGGAAATGTCCACAGTTTTCATAATGGCTCCATATGAAATCGATCCACACAAAAAAAACAAAAACACCATATGCCAACTTAATATACGGGGCCCACAAACACATGTTGGCTGGAACGGTCTGAAAAGGGCGTCTTCTTCCTCCACAAGTTTGCTGCAAACAGGGCTTATTTTGGGTTTGTCTTCTTTCCGCTCTTCTAATATTATTCTAATCTCTAGAATACGTCTACAGATTATCCCACCTGAGCTGTTGATTCTTGCAGCTCCTCCAGAGTCACACCTTAACTCCTTCTCTAACCGACGTTCTCCTTTCAAGGCCTGTCAGATTAGCCGGATCTTCACAGTATGTTTTCTGCTGTGAATTATTCCTTCCCATTTACAGCCTGTGCACTGCAAAAAGCACAAAGTCTCACCTGGTATTTTGTCCAATTTCTAGTGAAAATTTCTTATTAAAATAAGACGAAACTAACTTGTGAGTCATTTTTCTGCAAGACAGGAGCTTGCTTTAAGTCAGTAATTCTTTAATTTTGCTGAAATATGACCAGTTCCACTCGATTATTTCACATATAACATGGGAAAAATGTATTGTTATAAGTGAACAGTCTGAGCTATTGGAGCTTTTTCCATCTATATTAAGGGATTTTTAACTTAAAATAAGCTCCTAAATCTTTCTGAAAAGTTTCTTGTAAGTTAGTTTCATTTCAAGCGTACAAAGATGTTTGTACTAAAAACTAGACAAAAATACTTACACATTTGTTTAAAAGATAAGGCCTGTTTTAAAGCCACGTGCGACGCTGAGCATTTAAACCAATAGTTGTGTCGTATCAGTGCAGCTTTATTTAGGGCTTGTTTAGCTCAGAGAAAGTGTTTTAGATTTCTCTCCATTTTTCCTGACCTTATCTTGGCCTCCTGCCCCCTCCCGCACGCTTCTGTTTGTCATTGTTGGGCTCCGTACTTCGTTCAAGGATATTATCGTTTACTACCTCTTGCCTCACTCCGCGCTCGCCGCCACTCCTCCCCCCCCCCCCCCAACCCCGTTCCCCCGCACCCCGAGGGCTGTGGTTAGCGAACAAGGCAGCAGCAGTAGCCCAAAAGGCTAAGCGAATCCACAGAAAAACAGGATTAAATGAATTTATGCGCTCCCAGTCAGGACAGCAGAGGAGGAGGGAAGAGGGGAGAATAAAGCTAACATGATTTCAGCCCTCCTCACCTCTGTGTGACTCCGACACAAGTATTCTACCCTTGGGCTGACCTCCACTGCCAGACAGCCGTTTCTCCAAAACTGGGGCCCCTTTCTCCTTCTCCTCTGACAACCTCTGCTTCCCTTTCCCTCACAACAAGGCCGAGGCCTCTCCAGTTCTCAACCTGAAATGGAAACCAGAGCAGGGAAAACATAAGAAGACAAGCCGCCCTGCACACTCGGTGTGTAACGTGTGTGTCTTAAGGGTGTGTGCAGACCTGGATGCTCACATTAGCTTTCTAAAAGTCTCCCTTTATGTAACGCTTAACAAGAAAAAAGGCTCTATTAATCCGCAGTTGGAATAAAAAAGCCATAATGTGTTTAAGCATTTATCTGCGGTGCCTCAGATTAAATAAATTACAGCCTTCTGAAAAGACAAAAACATACTCATGCTGCTTTTTTTTTTTTTTTTTACTCGAGGTTTCTCCCGCCTCAGCTATGAGTCTGTCTGTCTGCCCAGCAACAAAATCATTTCCTGTCTCCGAGTCAATCAGATGACAAAATCAACACAGTTGTGTTTTTATCTCTTTTTTTTTATTATTATTATTATTTAATACACGACAAAGTCCTCATTGACTTCTATTCCAGCTTTTTATTGTTTTAAAGAAAAAAGCGAAAGGACTTTAGAGAGTCTTGGAAAAGTATTTATATTCCTGAAACTTTCTGAACTTTGTTGCATTTGATCACATTGCAACCAAACACTTCAAAATGCTATTTTATCAAACAAAAAATGAAATGAACAGCAAAACAACTGATCATTCTTAAAAACAAAAAACATCACAATGCTGATAGGTGGGAATGGCAGCATCATACTGTGAAGACGTTAAAGTTGATGAGTGGAGGAGCTAAATATAGAACAATCCTTGAAGAAAACGTGTTTTAGGCAGCAAATAAAACATAAACATACAAGTGAAGTTTCACTGGAATGTCTCATCAAAGCATATTCATGCGTTAGAATGGCCCAGTCCAAGTCCAGACCTAAATCTAATTGGGAATTGGTTGCAAAACTTAAGAATTGATGTTTTACAGAGACTGTCCGTCCAATTTAAGCCATAAAACGGCATAAATGCCATTATTTACTAATCTGGTAGAGACACATTGCATGACATTTACAGCTGTAACAAAAGCAAAAGGTTGTCCTGCAGGCCACATTTTTCAGATTTTCCTTTTTCAAATAACGCGAAAACTGTGAGTCAGTTACTTTGTGTTGGTCGGCGCAGAAACTCTAAGAAAAATATGTCGAAATTTGACGCGGTTAAGTGATACGAATACTGCTGAAAGGCACTGCATTTGTGGTGTAAGGGAGAAGTGAAAGGCCTTGCATTATTTATGTGTGAATGAAGGATTTGTATAAAAAAGGCTGTGGCTGTTTGTCATTGAGCACAACAGAGGAAAGCAGGTTGCTTTGATGTGGAAACTGGAAGGAGTCCCTGAACGATTCTTCGCTGCTCTGTTGATCCTTTAGGTCCAAGGTCCCCTTTAAAGTCAACGCACACTTAAAAAAAAAAAAAAGAAATGACTGTTGGTTGAACTTGACATAAACTTTCAGCTTTAATCAAAAGTCTGGCTTTGCAAATACCTGTCAGCACGTTTCACGCGGGAGCTAAACGGTGTTCAGCTAAACTTGAAGACATGTTGCTGACGTCAGCGGTAAACAGCAGTAGTGAACGGAATCAGTTTTGTTACATGCAGCCGTCCAGGAGGAGCGCCAGCGGGCCAAGGACAAGAACGAGAACGAGGTGGAGTCCACCAGCTGCGCGAACGAGGACATGCCCGTGGAGAAGATCCTGGAGGCCGAGGAGGCGGTGGAGCCCAAAACCGAGACCTACATCGAGACCAACCTGGGGATGCCGTCCAACTCGGTGAGCGCAGATTCTCCTCTGATCACACACTGTGTCTTCCTCCAACACGTCAGCCTGAAAATGGCCGCTGTTCTCTGCTTCTGCCTGTTTAATCCCCCTAAATCTAGATGTTGGATTGTGTGTTTTTGTTACTAATATAGTACTGGTAAAATGAAAGCAGGCCTCCGGCTTATTAGCAAAACTAAATAGGTGAAATAAGACAAATCTTAATAACTAAACAGCTTTTAAAATTTAAGCTTCTTCTGTTTTATTTTTCTGTTTTTACATAATGAGATTCTTAAAAAATAGCACAATTGTACTATATTTTCACAAAACGTCTAAAGCAATTTATTTATCTTTAACTAAAATCAGAAAGTAGCACATTTTCACAAAGCTACTACAGCATATAATCAGAGTAAAGTTATATTCAATACTTGCTTGTTGTTGTTTTGTGTCAGACTATAGAATGGACACTCACTAAAACTCCTATTGGTTTTTATTGTGCAGAATATTCTACAGTTTTCTTCTGCATTATTGAGCCAGGACCAAAACTAGTTTCATCTGGAACCATATTAGCTGTGCGCTGTTTTATTACCATATTTTTCTACAGAATTAGTCAAATAAATTGTAATGTATGCAGCTCCTGTAGAGGTGAAGGCTGCACTTCAGTGTCTCCTGTAGGTACTTTCTGTCTGCACTGAGAAGTCACTCAATAAAGAAGCAGAGAGAAATACTGAAGTAGAAACTTCAGCTACTAAGTTTGAGAGAGGAGCAGCCCGTTCCTGAACTTCTGCAGAGACTCCTGCATGGAGTTTATTCCTCTGGAAAGTTTTAGCCGTCATGAAGCTGCTGGTCTGAGGTTCGGGTATCGGATTCTGGATTCTTGTTCTGTGTTCTCTCTGCAGTCTCCTCCAAGAGCAATTATCAAATATTAACATATTAACTGCTAAGTTTTCCAAGTTTCTCCACACTATCTAGACTTTGTAAAACAGCATTACAACAGCAAGAGCTTTTTTTTCTTTTGATTTATGTCAAAATATCCAACTTCCATTTGATCCTGGTTGCTTAAGTTAGACTAGGTCTTATTTCAACATCTACTTTTACAAACGTCCCTTATGCTGTTTGTGTGGTTAAAATGTGTAAATGTGGCAGAGAATAAGTCATCAGTGGTGCTTCCTGGTTCCCTGTGTGTCTACTTTAGTTTCTAATGTCGGGGATTCTTAAAATTGTCCCCTCCTCATTTCCTTTCTGAGTAGTTTGTTTTTGAAGCAGTTATCAACAAGGACAAATTACTCATCCTTTTGGCCGTCAAGCTTCTTATCTTTACATTAGCCAGTTTTCTTTGTTTTCATCTGGGGAATAGTTGAGGCCCAAATATCTTTCAAAAAATATATTTCAACCAGCAGTGCAGAGCAACAAGTGGGGGAGGAACAACACCACATTATTATACTCTGGAATAATACTGCCTCCCTGCCACTTTATCTGATATTTCATTAAGTTCTTTTAACCACACAAACAGTATAAGGGATGTTTGTAAAAGTTTTTAAACAGAAGCATTTCTAAGCCTGTGGAAAATAATAGATTTTATACAATATCCTAATTTTATCCTTTTTTGCATGAACTTGAAGATGTAACTTATATTTTAGAATCATCTATAGAGCTTTTCCATCTGTGGCAAAATGTTCAAAAAATATTTCTTCTTTTTATAGTTCTGATCGTTTTTTAACTTTGCCTTGTTCTAAGTGCAAAACGAGTAAACTTAGGAGAGAAAATAGCTTTTTTGGCATTGTTACTTGTATATAATTAATATTTCATATGCTACAAATGTTTTTGTTTTTGTTTTATATGTTTGTTTTTTTTATCTGGTGTTGGATGGGTTTGCTTCAGAACGCAGGTTTAGCTGCTCACTTTCTTTATTCAGCTACGAGTTTCCTTCTTCCTGCTCCCGGTATCAGTCGGACCGTCTTTGACACAGAGGAGACTAAAGAGTGATGAATATTGCAACAGACAGACTGTTCCTGAAAGCATCCCACATACAAGCCGCTGCTTTTTCTGGAATTCTGTTGCAACATTCAAAGCAGAGGAGCCGCGCTGCAGCTTACCAAAAGGACCCGAAGGCGGGAGGGAGGCGGGGAGGGCTTCTGGGAATTATCTGCTTCTGAAGGGAGGGAAATGTCCTGTGAAGTAAAGGTAGAAATGTGAGGGATGTTATGAGAGTAAATGGGAACTATTTTGGTGGGGGGAGATGGAAATGTAGGAGATGAGTGTTGACATAAGGGAGGAAGAGGAGGAGTTAGGATTCAGGAGGGAGCGCCTGGCAGTGAAGACTCAGTGATGCACTGAGTGTGTCTGCGCTCAGTCATCCTGGCTCCCTCGGCGTCTGTTGCCTGCCCAGCGCCAACACAAGAGGACTTCTGAGCGGATAAAAGAAACTTTTGCAAGCTGTCCACAACTAGAAGCTGTATATACTTTCTAAGTTTAAGCAAACTCCTGTGGGATTTTTTGATATTGCAATTTAATAAGAAATGGCAAGCATGGTCCTACAAGCAAACTACGGAAACGTTATAGGGAAGCAAGTAAGCTGCTCCCAAATCCTTCTTGCAAAAGAACTTTTATTCTATTTTTTTCCGTGTCCCGTCCAGCAGTGTAGCAATCAGAATTACGAGAGTGAAGCCCAACAGTTCTACTTTTGTTCTAGTTTTCTCTATAATGCTCCCCCTATTGCTGTTAATCAGGTCCACTTAGACTCCTAATATCACATTTTTAATAAAAGCAGAGTATATTTATCTCTGCACAATATTCTTTTTAGGCTACATAAGAAGTTCCACATTCACAGATTCACCAGTTTTTCTGCAGAAGCATTAGCCACATACAAAACCATAAAGCATTAAATCTAAAGGTGCAATGCTACTCGGCATGCTACTGGCTGGCATGTTCACGGTTTTTAACTGCAGCACCACACTGTAACCAAACTTAGTTGGTGTTTATGTTTTTTTCCTCCCATCATTGTGTACATTTCAGAAATCTTAATGTCTTTTAAAATAGCCGGCTTACTCTGGTGTTTAGTTTCATCTCTGCACTTGAGGCCGGATTAGGACTTGAGCCTTGGTTTTAAATATAGCTAACTCTGCTTTAAACACATTGTTAGTTTCTGTGTTTCACTCACTGTTTACGTGCATCTGCTGTTGGAAATTCATATAAACCAATGGCATAATTCTGAGTATTATGTGACATTTTAGCCGCAAACGTAAATAATGTTACGTATTGCATTGCTTAACAGCATGAAGCGAGAGCATTTTGCATTAGCTCAGAATTCGTTATGCAACGTCTCTGCTAACAACATGGAAGTAACGGTGGCAAGGAAAACAGCCTGATTTTTGTTTCTCTGATTTGGCGCCGCTGACCCTTTCACTAAAGGAGAGCCGACACTTTTGGCACAGTTTCAGCGTCCAGGCGGCCCCGACCAGCACGGCTTCCCTTTCTTTCCGAATAACGTCCGCGTCCAACCCCCCCTGCTGGTGTCCATTGAGAGTCGCTGCCCCGTGCTATAATTAATCACAGGGCCCGGGTCAGGGGTGTACACTGTGAATAGGCCGCTGCCACTGTCTAATGGCTGGGGTCTGGTCTGGCTGAATGAAAGTGTGTTTATCTCATGGTGACCTAGAACAGGAGTTAAAGAGGCGTTAGTAATATGCCTTCACTAGGAGAGGAGGAGAGAGGAGAGATCTCTTCTTCAGGAGATGGATACAAAGCTATCCAGGCTCTTATTTTTACATGTTTGATTTTTCAAGGCTGCTGCTTTGCAATACTTACAGTACATATATTTATTTAAATGTTAATGCAAAAGTTTTTTGTTTTTTTTAAAAGCACCTCTCAAAAACATTCATTCCCTTAACAATCTTTCACATTTTGTCACAAAACAACCCAAAACCTGACGTTTTTTTCAGGATTTTATGTAGTAGATTAACACACAGTGTCTGAATGTTCTTACTTTCATCCACTTGTAATCATCAATGAAATCGTGACAAAAATGGACGAATGTGGTGTTGGCAGCATTATGCCTTTTCCAGGCTTTTCCTCAGAAGAGGGAGAGAAGCTGGTCAGAAATAAATGGACCTCTGTAGAGAAATTATCTAACGAAATATGTTAGACGGTTTAAGACTTCAACAGAGCACTGGCCCTTAAATTTAAAAAAGTGGGACATTAGTTGTTGTTTTTTTTTTTTCAATCTTCATTGCAGCTCAGCTTTCCCTCTCTTGTCACGCTGGTGTAGTCTGGTTCAAGTGGAATAATGAAAAATTGAGAGGGAAATCTTTCTCCACCCTTCCACAAGTGATGAAAATTTCATAGGACAGTATGCAAGCCTGGCAATTCTCTTAAGTAGTGGGGATGATGGTGATGAAGCGCATGTGTGCTGTAAATCCTTCGATTTGCCTGGAACAAACACAGCCGGGTTTTATGGTCACGGGGAAAATGTCTTTCACACAAATTTCTCCTTCGCTTCAGACTTTTGGCAGGCTGCAGTTCCAGCCCCGTGTTTCCATACAGTGAGGTTACGGTTACAGTTACAGTGGCCCGGCCCGGTGCAGATTCTTTTCCTTGCAGACTGATAACATCCCAAATACAGTTCCACGACCCGAGCATTAAGTACAGTAACGCGATGCTCGTAAATCGTCTCAGGAAACTGTAAGCTCCTCTCCCCTGTCCTCTCCTCCGACGGAGGCAAAGAAACAAGGTCAGTGTAAACACGGCTAAGATATCCATACAACATTCATGAGACCCGGAGTGTCTAACAAGAATCCCGGGACTCTTATTCTAATGAAGAGGAGGAGGAGACTGGGGGTTGGTGGCCTGATGGTGGCACACATCTGAGCCCTCCCTTCTACTCCGTTTTTTTTTTTTTTTTTGTTGTTTGTTTTTTTTTTTTTTTTCCCCCAGTCTGCCCTGTGGAAGGAATTAGCTCAATCTGTTTGTGTTTCTGAGAGGAAACGCTGCTCACGAAAACCGTCGCTCAGAGCTGCACCGTCCATCGTTTCCCACGGAGATCAGATGCTGAAATATTCATAAGACGCCAGTTGTCTCTGTGGCCCCATTGGGAGAATAAGGCAACTTTTAGTTTCAAGAACAGTTCAAGCTTTGTTTCTGGTTTAAATTCTATATATATAAAGATATATATATATAAATGCATTCATCTCAGATATCCATCTGCAATGCTCTGCAGGCATCACAAATCTGTTTGGGATGGAACGGGGAAGAGAGGCCTGGGTCGCCTTTGGCCTGCACATTAAGAACAGAGGATTCGCGTTTTCTCCTTCATCTTGAACTAATCTTCTCTAGAGAGCAGCAGTTGATGTCAAGATCTTCCCAGCTTTTAGCATCGATCTGTGGGATTTGGTTTAGGAAGTCGGGGAGAAGTTACTGACTCTCTTCGGCAGACTGCGAGTTCACACGGGGACTCGTCGTTTAAGAATATTTACTAGACTTAATTTTATGCAAAAAGGAAAAGTGTGCCTGTTTATACATATGCATATCAGTGGGTTGGACGCCTGGGATGATGGTAAACTTCTTGTCAAAGACTGACAGTATTGTTCAGGATGTCCAAAAGGAGTTTCATCTCAGCAAAGTAGTCATACAGTATGCATGTGTTGCATTAATATTCTGCGGCGATTCCCTTTGGAGCGTGATATTGTACCTCTGAATCTAAAGCGCAGGAACACTTTATGAGAAGCTCTATTTGATGTTGGTTTGGTGCAAACAAGAATGATTTTCTTTGTTTCGTCTTCAAAAACGTTTCCACGACTTTAGGTAGCTGAAATGTTCTCTAAGAATCCTAGGATGTTGAGTACGTTCTGGTTAAACAGGTTTTCCACTTTTAATGGACTTTCAATGCAACTTTTAGAGCAACTTTGCGTTAAAAGTGTCATTATTTACCAAATGACAGTTTATGACAACAGACATTCATAAAGGCTCCTTCATGTTCATAACAGGTGTTATGTCATGTTGTCATGTCAGTCTTATGCACACCTCGTCAAATAAAGTGTTATTGGTAATTCTGTCAGACATGTTTACAACACCTGTGTAAGTTTGGGTTCACTGGCCTGTTAGAACAACCAGAGTTTGGTGGTTTAGGTCTCCTTGACCAAATGCTGACATGTACAGCTGTTTAATTCTGAAGTTTTTACTTGTAGGAAAATTGATCTTGTGTTTAAAACTTGTGAAAGCTGAATGCTGTATAATTTCTATACTTAGGAAGCCAATGACATGACCTTTATTCATGTAGTTAGTGACTGTAAATTGCTAACATGAACTGATTGTAGACCTGAAGAAAAAAAAAAAAAAAAAGAGGACCACATTTTTTAGACGTAATTAGAAAATTGCAACGCAGTTCTGTGCACTGCGACGTTCGATTAAGCAACATTACTGCAAATGTTACGTTTTGGGACTGGAAGAGACGAAAGGCTTTGAAACCCATTTTCTTAGAGCTGTAGGATCTTTCTGTTTTTCTGCTTTTATGATCGCGTCTCCTTGAGGCCTGTGGAGTCCCATAAAGTCAAATCAGTAAATTGTTCTGGCTTTTATTCTGGTTCATCTGCACTGTTTATCAGAAAGAGAAACTAATCAGTGTTCTTGTTCTTGGCACTGGAAGCGCAATCCAGTAGGACGCCTAGCAGACAACACGATCCTGGGAGCTTAGTTTTATCATTTAACACACTTTAATGATTACACTCCAGTTAATCTTCTGAGCTCCTAAATCACTAGAAAAACAAAAATAGGCACCACTTCTGAATTTATTTTTTTTTATATGGGGGTAAAACAAGAGATCTTGAAACCTCTTTTAGCTGAATAACTAGGGGTAGATATGAGTTATGCACATAATGTAGGTTACACATTTTACAGTCCCCTTCTGGTTGGCAATAAAGCTCCCTCTGACTTGTTTAGTAGTAAAGTGTCAGTTGAGCCCCTCGAAGGCCCTCTTGAGCTCTTCTAGTTCTCCAATAGTGTTTCAGCTAAAAGCTCCCCGAAGACGGAGCGCGCTCGGCAAAGCTTGTTTTTTCACCGCCAGCTCTCTGCAGGTATTTCCTCCACAAGCTGGGACAGAATCACTGTTTGTTTTGTCTTCCTGCTTGCCTTCCTTTTGACAGGCTATCACTCCCAGCGTAGCACTCATGCTGCCGTCATTATGTGTGTGAAAGCACAGTGATTGGTAGCTCACAGGTATCCCGAGATCAGGCTCTGGGCCAAAACACACCAACGTAACAAAAACACAGACACACACACACACAAAAAAAAAAAAAAAGAAATGACACCTATTCATTGTGCCTATGCTTCTTTTCGTGTGTGTGTGTGTGTGTGTGTGTGTGTGCGCTTTCCTGCAGCCCAACGACCCAGTGACAAATATCTGTCAGGCAGCAGACAAGCAGCTTTTTACTCTGGTGGAGTGGGCCAAGAGGATTCCCCACTTCTCGGAGCTGCCGCTGGACGACCAGGTCATCCTGCTACGAGCAGGTACGTGAGCTCGAGTTCAGGAGTTCTAAAGAAAAATACTGTGGTGAACTGTGTTTCCTTTAAATGTTATGATTTTTGCCAACAATAGCTGTGATATTTAGATGAACCTCCCTGGTTTATTGTGCAAGATTGCAGAAGGGGAGTTGCCTATCTCCAGGGTCATCGGGCAAGAGGCCAATTTGCCAGTCGATCTTACGCACAGAATGACCAACATGATGATGAAATATGTTGCTAAATCCCTGTGGGACGTTGCTCAGACTCTTATGAAAAAAATTTGCTTCCACAGTGATCTTTGATACATGTGGAATACGCATCAAACGGCAGAAAATAATTCCAATCTGCATGAAGCCTGGGAGCTGATTCAGGCTAATTCACAACAACTGGCATTAGCAGTGGTGTGATCTATGCTGAGCTGTGAACGGCATGCGTTACCTGTTAAGGGCTATTTGGTCCTAATATTATTAAATCAGAAGCTGTTCCCACATCCTCAGCACCATGAGCTGGACTCTGTCCAGACTCCCCAGTTCTCATCGATCTTGTTTGTGGGGTTCAGGGACAGAATCTCATGGCACATTCTTGGAGAGGAGCGTCTCTGGTTCAGGAACCTTGGACTTACTTGTCGCCCATGACGGACTACAGTTTGTATTTTCAAGCCGTAGTCTTCATCAGTCACTGGAGCACATTGCAACCAAGTGCAAGGGTCCAAGACGAGATTCAAGTGTGAGATCATGGTTCTCGACTGGGAAATGTTGACAGGCTCTGTTTGGGTTGGAGTTTGTGTTTTTTTTTTGTTTTTTTTTAGGTTGAAAGTTATTGTTGATTCAGATGGTGTGATTTTAAGAAAATAGATACAGAAGACAACACAGTGCATCCCTCTTCAAGCAGGCTAAAAGCTGTTTCTACCAGCCCAGCTTGAATCAACAGACAGGCCTCCAGTTGCCATTTGCATCTTGTGGAAAATGACGTAAGCTAGCTGCTAAGTATTAGCTATGCAGCTACTTGGAGTACAGAGTGAATCATCTGTCACTTCAGCTACATTCACCAACATCACAAGTAGGACGGCAACACATTGCCTTTATTCTTTGCCTGTCACTCCAGATTACACCATTATGGTATCTGTCCATCCCTAAGAAAACGAACAGGGGGCAAAAAAATAAAAAAATCCCCTCTTCCCGTGATTGCTCCTCAAGCCTTCACATATATAACGATGCAGAGATTTCACCAAACTGGAGTGAGATGTTATTCTGCACAGCTCGTCTCTTCTTCTCGTCTCCCAGGTTTTCTATAAATAACCACTTTAGTTCTGCTGTGTCACAGATAAAAGCATCGCGGCTCCTCTCATGGCCAAACTCAACTGTAGGGAGAAGAGGCGAGTTGTTGCCAGGCAGAACAGTTAAAGGAACCCCGTCCCTCATCCGCCGGCGTCTCTCGTCTATGCCACTCCCCCCCCTTTCCGCCCCCCCCCCCGACCCCCCACCCGCGCCTTGGCACGTCAAGCTTGTTGTCTTTATTGTGATGGCAGGCGCAGTTCATCCCTTTTACACGCTTGTCTCCTTAGAAAGCATGATTCCAATGTCTCAGTGATAACCTGATGCTTGCGCTTGAGGGAGCTTCGGGGTTTTTTGCGGCTCGGCTTTAATTGATTCATTGGAATTCTGCCTTTGTTGTCGTTTTAATTTTGCTTGAACGCTGTGTGAACTTTTGTACTTGGATTTACCTTTTTCTTTGCACTTTTTTTTTAACTATCCTTTGCCTTGATCCCTCTCCTCATCTCAGGTTGGAATGAACTCCTCATTGCATCATTTTCGCACCGTTCCATCGCAGTAAAGGATGGGATTCTGTTGGCGACGGGCCTGCACGTGCATCGCAACAGCGCCCATAGTGCCGGAGTGGGAGCCATCTTTGACAGGTCAGTGTTACTATTTTGCAGTTCCTAAAAAGTCTGTTAGAGTTATATTTTTTGTTTTTAAACCTAGAGAAATTGCATAATTGGTCGAGGCAAGACACGTTATGCACAAAGTGATATTGTCTAAAACATAGTGAAATCCAAAATCTTAGAATTTCAGAAGTTAAAATATATTTTTAATATAATAATATATGGTTCAAACTTGTCTTTCTGGTTGAAGCAAAGCTTGCAATTCATTTACACACATAGTCTGGGGGGAAAGAGGAGAGGATAGCTTGAGGTCCAATTGGAAATTTCCACAGCCAGGATCATCAAACGTGCTTGAAATGTGTCTCACTTTGTGAGTAATCTTTAAAAAGAAAAAAAGTCTCACTTTTTGAACTGAATTACTGGAATAAATTACCTTTTCAATGAGATTTCAATTTGTGAGATGCATCTTTGGAAGACCTTGATGTGATGACTAAAGTTTGCTGGTAGCAAGAATTCTTTTGACGGAGTCGACAAAGTTCACTTAAGGTGAAAATGTTCTCTTTCTGTGCAGCTTTTAAAACCAAGTGAAGTTTCCAGCCTTTAATAAGTACATTTGAGTAAAGTCATTTCATCTCTTTGACAGCATATGACATTTCTAGTTCTTCAATGAAAACATTACATTGACTGCAAACCACCGGGTTGCTTTGCTGAGGGTGAAGCAGCACAGAAATTATTGATTAACTCCACTGTATTAAATATTTACACCTGGGTGCATCAGGGCTCTCAGAGAGAACCCCGAGCTGCTTCAGAAAATGTCAAAAAATCCATGCAAAGTTCAGCCGCAGCCAAGTTTGGAGCGAAGCAGGAACCGCCCTGGTGGTTGTTATTGACATTGCGTGGCAGAGAACTGACTGACTGTCGGAGATATCACATAAGTCCATGGCATGAGTTCTGCTGCATCGCAACTTGAGCAGAAGTAACACAAGTGGAAAAGTTGCAAATATATGTATACATTCCTGACTGCAGAATCAACATCCAAGCGGTGAAAGAAGAATTATCTTGAATAAAACACATTCCTTAAACAACTCTAGATAGTATTCAATCAGTGGAAATGAAAACTGATTCAGGAAGACAACAAATCCAGCCACGGTCACATGATCGAGCAAAAGAGAGCTCCAGGAAAATAAAAACCTAGCCCAAGTGATGTAGGTCGACCTAATACAAGAGTTCACGTTTTAAAATGAGAAATCAACTGAGCTTTTAGAAAACCTTCTAAAGATCATTGAGTGACACAGCAAAAGAAAAATAAAAACATACCAGGCTGTTGACAGACATCACTCATGCAGTTTGAGTTATTTCAAACATTTCTGCCAAGAAGAATTTAGAGAAGTGTACAAAGGAGAGCCGGGCTAAGCGTGTAAGATCATCGCTAAGACGACTCCAGCTTTCAGTCGGCGTCAAAAACTGCCCACTGCCGTGGAGTGGAAGTGAGACGTTTGGATAAAACATATCTTTTTTTGTGAAAAGTACAGTTTTGTTCAGAACCGTGTAGAAATTTTCAGTTTGTCCCGTTCTCATGAATGACTAAAGAAAGCTTGTGTGCGTTACGTTTTCATAAGTTTCTTTTTCTGCAGTTTTGTTTTTAGTTTATTCTTGTTGCATCAAGCTTTGCCTACAACTCTAAACCAATGGCGATTCCTACTGCTGCTGTTTTTCATGAGGCATTCATGTGTTAGATTTTTAGGGGTGGAGTCTTGTTGATGGACTCTCGTCTTTAAAAGGGCTGGCGGTTCAATACGTTCTGTTTGACTCCCGGTGGGAGGCTTGTATCCCAAAACATGTCAAAAATGGTACTTAGTTTTCATGAATGCACCATGGAAACGCAACTAACCCAGAAACCACTTCAACACATATATCATTTTTCTAATTTATAACTAATTGATCTTTTTTTTTTTGATCTGGTTGAGCTATGGATTTCTTTTGCAAAATTAAATTTCAAATCACCACCAGACTGATTAAAACCTGTGGCGTTCCACTAGGTCGTGTTGTCGGCCCTAATTTATTGAGAGTTGTTTGACTCACTTATTTTAGGATTGATGATGAAAACATTGAGTTTTTTAAACGCCACTGTGTTGCAAAACATTTATTTGTACAGAACTGTTTAACAAATGGTGGTTGTTGGTTAGTTGGTGAGCTCATTTAGCCCACTTCATGTTGTCAGACTGGTTCTGTTTAGCCGATTTCGTGATTCAACACGTCTGGCTGCAGTCAAGCCGTCATTTGACTGGTCAAATTCAGTTCAACTGTCCAAAACACTTGGTTAAGCACAGTTAATTCATGAATTAACAAAGGGGAGATTATTGTTTCTATGGAGGACAGATTGGTTTCTTTTCTTGAAAAATTCAAGTGTGGTTGGAAAAAAAACCTGTTGGTTCCTGGTTTGTTCTTGACGGTAACCGTTTGGATCAGACAGCTGCAACTTGGACGCGGTCGGGTTCTGCAAAAAGACAAAGAAGGGCGGCGTTTAATCTGCTGAGTCGTTCAGACGTTTAGACGCTTTTTTTATCGATCCATATAATTCATTAGGGGTTATTTCTCAGGAAAATGAGCAGTGAGCTGGAGACAGCAGAGGACAGACAGCTGCTGTCAACAGGCCAGTTGTTGAGTCACAGGACATTTTCCGTCTCTGCATTAACTGTGGCAAGTATTAAGATCCAGAGCACAGATTATGCTTCCTTATCAACTCCTTTCTCTCTCTTTCCCCATACAAATGAAGAGACTGATTAACTTACACACTTTAGTCTCTTTTTTTCTTTCCTCTTTTGGCTCTGTCGTTCCTCCTCGGAGCAAATTAAATTAGCAGTGAGTCACAATTGACTTAACAATCCTGAGGGCCTGAAAGAAAAGGGAAGCGAGAGGAGAGAGTAAGAGCAGGCGGCACGGCGAGGGTGTGACCCCGTCAGAGAGGGGTGAGGAGTTCGGGCAAACCCACCCTGTGATGTCACGCGCAGACGGTGGGCGTTCGGGTGTCGGGTTACAGCTTGTGTTTACTCTGCGGCTCTTTTCTGTATGAAAACCACGAACTAAATATAATTGCTCTGTAGGGCTGTAAAGTTTTCCACTGATGTAACGGTGCCTCGCAGTGCATTCGTGTGCGTTTATTTTTAAACAGATGTGAGCTGCTTAGCGGTTTGAAAACATATTTTTAATATACCAGTCGGGATAATTAACTTGAAGAGCAGTTAGCAGCAAAAAATAAATAAAAAAAATGTACCAATTACAGTCAAGCGGTTTTCTGTGATGTGAACTTTTCTGGTTCTTGTTTGGTTGTTTGACATAAAACAGTAGCCAAGAAAAAAAAAAAGTCTTTGAAAAACCACAGATCTGCCTTTATTTTATATATATATTTAATCTCATCTTGCTCCTGTCTTGTCTTGTGTTCAGGGTGCTCACAGAGCTGGTGTCAAAGATGAGAGACATGCAGATGGATAAGACTGAGCTGGGTTGCCTCCGAGCCATCGTCCTTTTCAACCCAGGTAACAATCATGAGCAAGTTTCACTTTCAGCTAGAGCTTTGAAAAAGCTCTGCAAAGTGAGGGTTATAAAGGAGGAGCATGAAAAACCCAGTTATGCTTCTAAAGAGGGTAATAACAGGGCGCAGGAGCTCTGTATTTATTCATACACTGAGTGCTGTCCAAAAGCCTTGATTTAGCCATTATTCCTTTGTATTTTGCTTCCGACAGTCAAACTGTTTTTATGATATTTGGACATGCTCTTGAATTGTTTTCCCAACTTTCTGAAGGTTTTTCCATTTTCTTTATTTTTCAGTTCGGACTGTGCACCTTGAAAATAACATCTCTCTTTCTTATTTCCCACAAAGAACACCGCTCATTTTCCGTGCAAGCAAACATTATTTTCATTTCATCCTCCGCTTGTCAAGTTTTCTGTAAACTTTTAGGACACGGTGGTGCTCCAAAGAGTTCTCCAGGAGTTACCTTGATGGATAAAAATAAATAATATTCTCCGCCAGGACAGCCTAGAGATAAGATTTCGGATTCTTTTTTTTCCCAAGTCCTCCTGTATGCAGACACAACAGCAGTTCATCTCTAGAGCTTGGAGTCATTTCTTATGGATGAATGTGTAGGTTTGGAGGTCAGAGTTGATTTCTGGTCACCTATAAATACTGAAAGAAGCCAATTGTCCATAAAGAAAACTGCAAACATATATGGATATATATATATATATATATATATATATATATTCTGTCCATCCATTCATCCAAGTAGTACGTTGTTCTTTTCTCTTATTTTAACTCATATAGAAGCTTCTATATTGTTTATTTTTTGTATTTTCCTGTAAAGTTTGTGTCAAAGATGAGGGGGAAAAAAAACTCCTGGTTTGAGGTTCACACAACCTTATCAGGCCAAATGTCATCCATGTTTACCGAAGCTTCCTGTTAATGTGAGTCAGGGTGTTAAATGACTCGGTACGGGGGCCTCCCTGGTCCCTCCGGGGGCCACAGTGGATCTGCTAGCCCGGGACGGGCTGATCCCCTTATGTTCATTTTGTTCCAGCCGCATCCAGGAGGTTCACTGGCCTCGGTTTGCTTTGCTGCCCGACTCCCGTTAATTAGCGGGTTTGCGAGATTCGGGCTATCTGGGGGCGTAGAGGGGGGGGGGATGACGCTAACAGGGGCCCTCAGTCGTTCCTTTCCCACACCATGCGAACTAGTCCAGCCATTATTAAAAGAGCAGCGCTTTGTCGAGCTGAAACGTTCATCAATGACTTGTTTGTTTTCCAGTGTCTTTCTGTTGAGCCTAAATTAGCGCAGCCTTAATTGGGCCAACCCGGACCGGACCGGGCCGGGCCGGACCGGGCCTGGACTGAGCTCACAGGGTTAAAGCTTAATGTGGAAGTCACATCCTGACTGTCCGGGAAAATCACAGCGCTTTGTAGAAGCAAATAAATACAACTTAATTCGCTAAACGCTCACTGCATTATTACAAAATGTGTTGACATGACTCATTGTCCTTTTCTGTGTCATTTTAGTTTTGAGGCTCTTTTGAAGCCTGTCTTGCAATTTCATTTTAAAATGTTAAAAATTGAACCGCTTATTTTAGTAATAATTTTGGCCACAAGGCTTTAATGTTCGAGAGCCATTAGTTCCTTTGTCCAGTAATAGTTTAAATAAAGATATAAGTAAAAATTACAATTATTTTTTTAACACGTAAACTTAAAATATGCAATAAATTGTTAAATTAAAAGAAAAACCTAAATTATTCACCATTAAATGTTATATTAGTTTTTGTTTGATATTTCAGTCCATCATGAAATACTATTATTTGATTGGTCCAACATCAGACCAATATTTTTGTCTATATAATAAATATTATTTAGCACTTAGTACAATAAACACAGGACTACAACATTATTCAGACAATTTTGTGAGTTTTATCAGAAAATTAACACAAAATATAATTGAATAATATATATGGTTTTGTACATATATATATAAACTTAATGGATTTCCATGTATTTTCTTTCTTTTTTTTTAAATAAACATTTATTTAATCAACTTCCTCTTTTGGCACGACCTTCAGAAGGACGTAAGAAAATGAGGAAATGCGTTTTGACTGCAGTGAGGTCTGATCTAAGCCGGCTCATTTCTTCTTGTGTGTTTACAGACTCTAAAGGTTTGTCCAACCCAGGTGAGGTTGAAGCTCTGAGAGAGAAAGTCTACGCGTCTTTAGAGGCTTACTGCAAACAGAAATACCCCGAGCAGCCGGGCAGGTGAGACTAAAGAGCAGCCAGAGAATCATAAACACTATCAGATGTTCTGCGTTATGCAGATGACATCTTCCTTTCATAAGGTATTTATGTGCGGTTGTTTACTAGCAGACTTTATGAAAGGAAGATTGGAAATTAATACGGTGAAATGTAACATACATACATATATGTATTTATATATCACATGGTTCAAAGCGTGGGGAAAAAAGTAGCAGCTTATAGTCTGAAAAATACGTACTAATTTCACCATTTATTCAAACCAATAACGTACTGATTTCTGAACAGGTTCGCTAAGCTGTTGCTACGGTTACCAGCGCTGCGCTCCATCGGGCTCAAGTGTTTGGAGCACCTTTTCTTCTTCAAGCTGATTGGCGACACACCCATCGACACCTTCCTCATGGAGATGCTCGAAGCTCCTCATCAAATGACATAATAGGAGTGACCCCTCCTGACCCTCAGCCTCATGCCCCCACCCCCTCCCACACTTAAACCCCCAACATGCATCACCCCAGCTGCCTTGGATCCAGAACATCTAGAAAAGGGCAGACTTAAGAAAAATAGACAACACAAACGAACATCTCCCTTCTTGCTTTTGTCCCTCCAGCCATCTTCTCTGCTCACCAACTCTCTGAAGTGTTTCAACACGAGGAATCCATCATGAATATGGGTCTCTTTTATACCTTGTAAAATATATAAATAAGAAAAAATATCTATATATATATAAATATATAAAACACCATCAACGTAAGTGGCGAGACGGGACTGAAACGAGGACATAGACATACTGAGCCATGGTTTCCGTCTTTGCTTGTCGGATCGTGCCCCCCCCCAAAATGAGAAAACAGCAGCAGAGACGATCAGGTTTTCAACACCCACAGTGCTCAGCAAAACAGCGGCGATGTCACAGGCGTTGTGATCGGGACAATCGCACCTTCTGTGGAACCTCTGGGATGTTTCATCTGGGATGTTTCATCTGGGATCTGAGCCTGCTTTTGCTTTTCAGGACTGGACAGCTTGGGGAAAAACAACAACAACAACACATCATCACAAAGAAACTCGTCTCTTCAACCTGACTGAACATGTCAGGTCTTGCACCAGGTGTTTTTTTATTTTTATTTTATTTTTTTGGAAGAGTGAGCTTGCCGGCGTAGAACTCAGAAGTGGCTTAACAGGAGGGCAAGTTCTCACAAACCTCAGGTCTCTGGCCAATTCCAACAGAGCCGACCATGTCTTACTGTACCAGCACTGTGCGGCGTTGGGGAAGGACGTCTCAGCAGTCCACAAATCCACCCTCAAGTACTCAGAATGACTTGGGGAAACCCTGTTTAGTACAATCTCTGTAACTCTCTGTGCCCGTAAACTGATGTAAATTAGCTTTATGAGACTTGGGCGTCGGTGGATGCTCCAGCAGGTGCAGGGACGACACGTCTACTTTTTTCAGACTTTATTTTATTTTATCTTTTTTTGCCTCAACACACAGTCCCACACAAGAGGAAATGTCATCGTTCTGTCAGACTCTGAGCTCCTCGTAGTCCTCTCTCTCTCTCTCTCTCTCTCTCTCTCTCTCTGCCTCACATTTCATGCTAATTTCTGCCAGGCAGACACACCTCCACGCTCAGAAACCCCTCTGCTCGCTGCAGCAGCAGGCATCACTTCTTTCTTTCCAACACCTCATATCTACATGTACTGAAAGCTACGACAGTATTGACCTTATTTTCAGTAATGCACAAATACCTCTGTTTCCATACACTCGTGTAGGCTTTAGAGTATACGGGAAGGAGCGCTTGTTTGTTGTGGCAGAGCCATTATGTGTTTGTTTGTTTGTTTGTTACTTGGCACTTAACCTCATGACAGTGTAGTTGGGTTTCTCCATGGAGAGCGGATGTTGATGTGATCGACCTCTGCAGCGGAGTTTGGCACTGTCCCGTTCCAGAACGCCTCAGTACTTTTCCTCCTGAAAAGAACACACACACACGCGCACACACACATTCACTCTGTGCACTTCTCTGGACAACCAAGTGACATTTAAGTTGAACTGAAATGTTAAAGGTCTTTATGTGTAAACGTGTTTTGTGTCCGCATTCTTTTTCTTGTTTTTCTTCTTTTCCTGCTTTTCTCTAAATGCTGCAGCTGCTGCAAAACTATGCATAGTGTTCATGTCCAAAGACTGTCTGCAGGGCGGCTTAACCAGAGTAAATGTTTGGGAGGTGGGGGTCTCTATTATTCAGAAATTGATGCTCACTTTAATCTGGTTGAATCACCTTCAGATAAACCAAGTTGGTAGCGGAAACCATATTAGTTGAAATCATCGGTGCGTTCCATTTGTGCTTGGAAGTCAAATTTTCCAAGTTGGAAGAAATTAGCTAAACATTTTTTTTTCACTTTAAAAAGTCTTTTCTGTCAATAATATGGCATCACTTATAACAATGTACAATGTTTGGCTTCACTGCTTGAATGCATGACACTGAGAAATGAATTATTTAGGGGTTTTATTGCTACTTGTAGCTATAGGTTGGTAGGTTTCTAACTTGCAGTTAAGTTAGAAATTACACCATAATTATTTGTGCCTAATAAGTTCTGGATCCTGTGGAAAATAGAGCAAAGCATGAATCGACTAGCTAAACTAGGAATTACAAACAGTTTGCCTTAAATGTTAGCTAACGGGACATTTTAGTTGCACTTGAAATGCAGAATTTCTGAGTTTTTTGCCGGAAAAACTGAGAATTATGCTCAGAAACTGAGGTTTATCACTAACCCCAACCTAAAAATTCAATACAGCTGTTTACGTAAAGAGAAGTTTGTTATAAATTGATTTTTCACTTTTCTAATGTTTTTTCTGTAACTTTCGCTGGTATGCCATGCTTGACTCAGTTTGGTTTTCTAACTAGAAAAGTTTAATCTGATCGAATTCTTACATCCATGAAAATTTCACCTCTCAAGGTAAATGGAACGCACCATAAATCTACCAGAAAATCTCGCAAACTACGAATCGCCAAACTTGTTCACACGACTCCTGACTGTCTGGAAACGGTAAGTCAGAACAAACCTAAGCAATGACTGTTTTTATCAACCGTTAGGCTGAGATTTCTAAGGCAACACGAGCAAACAAGTCTTGGCTTCTTGACAGCAATTCACTTTTCACCTCATGGATGCTATTTATAGCATCTTGCAACGCACAAAATAATAGAAATTGTCATTTCGTAGCAGAATAAAATTTTAACTAAATCTATTTCAAAACTTTCAAACAGTTCTAACGATGGTATGTTAACTAACTGATGTTTCATGGAACCTAAACTCAATTTTAGTTTGTTAAAAACCAAACAGCTTCTCAGTTTGGACCTTCCCCACTGCATAAGGGCCCCATATACATGTTTGCATCGCCTCTGCTGGTATCAAGTGGACTTTGGTTTTGGCTCTGACATGAATTCTTAGAAAATCGGTCTGAATTGATTATCACATCTTGTCCCTACATCAACCTATGCAGGCCTTTGACATGGGGTTGTTATGTAACCCAGTGACAATCCTATTTGGGGCCCATTTTCCAGCTTGTTACTTACCCACGTGGGCCCCATTGTAGAAGCTGGCTGGAACAGCTCACCAATATTCCCTGTTCCCTCTTTACTGCCCAGAACGTATAATGTGAAAAGTAAAATATAGAAGAAATGAGTACAAAAGAAACAAAAAAAAAAAACAGAACTCTATGAGCTGAAAGCTGCCGGATATTGACCGCTTTCATTGCTCCCTTTCTCTTATGTTTTACTAGTTTTCCTTCTCATATAATTACATATTTAAGCACTATGACATTTCCATACTTTTCCAGTAGCCCCACAGAGACTCCGCAGAGAATTTATACATAAATCACCAACGGTAGAATATGTGCTTAAATCTTTTTTTTTTTTTTTTTTTTTTTTTCTCACTATTTCGAGATGGATGTTGTTCCATCTTGTGAAATTGTTTCCAGTTATTCCCTCTGTTGAAAAGCCAGCTCGGAAAAGTCAGATGTGATGGATGTGAAATGTGCTGGAAGTCACGATTTACCTCGAGCGTGTGGTGATTTGTGTGCCGTGAGCTCCCTCTGGCGGAAGAGAAGCAGCGCTGCAACATTACTTGAAATTGTTTTCTAGAAGTATTTAAATGGACGAACAGAAGGAAGGCACTTTGTCACAGCTTTCTAATTGCCACAGATGCTCCGCGCCGAGCAGAAAAGTAGCAATGAGAAAAGTAGCAATACCTTCAGCTTAACCCATCAGCGTGGTGTTTATTGCTAAAATGAACTTAAGCACGGTGGTTTGTGTGTTTTTGCATCCTATCCAGGTGACAGTATTACCTGCCAGCTTGGGCTCAGTTTACAGTATTTATATTCTGGGAGAACATGTTTGTTTCCCCGATGCAGAATATGTTTTTTATTTTTTTTTTTGAATCAAGAAAAGCTCATTTCAAACAGTCAAAGATTTGTTTCCCCAAATATTAAAAAGAAATATATATGAACATCCTCTTCGTTTCTGGCTGACTCGCCGAAGATTGGAAGCAATCGTGTAAAAGCCATATAAAGTGTGTGACGTGCAAAAGTTCACGCCCCCTGCAGGAAATTGACAGATGTGGGAAAAGAAAAGGAAATAATTGTCCACATAGAATGAAAACCTAAACGGATGCTTTACAACATAAAGCTATATTTTGTTAATATGTATATTTGTATATATTTATAAATATATATCAGCAGATCAACTCATTGAATATTCCAAAACTGAAAAAAAAAAAAAAATCTGAATTTTCCTAAGCTGTGGGAGTTTAAAGGTGTTTTTATCACAAATACGGGTGGGGAGGGCTGGATTGTAACTTTTATTAAAAACAAAATAAAATAAAAAACACAATAATCCACCAGCAGAAGTGCAGCAGCTCTGAACTCAAAAGAAACCAGCTTAAGCCGTTTTCTGTGACCTCGAAAAATCAGGAGAGGCAAAAATAAAACTTAAAAAAAAAAATTACTCTCCTAAATGTATATGTTGCTTAGCAAATGTATGTTGAAAACGTGTAATCAGGAAAAGCTGAGCTTGTGACACAATCACTGCTTTGTTTGTGGCATAAACGGTTAAATGTTCTAGTTTATAAAAAAAAAGAAAAAAAATCACTTGGGAAAAAGATCTATTTTTGTACAAAGGTAGTTTTATCCCCTGCTTATTTACTCTGTTCTTTTTCTTCTCTGTGGCTGTTTTGTGGAAAAGTTTCCTCAGCTTCAGACTGAAAGTGTAATTTTGTTTTGTGGGGAGTGGGAGGGAAGGATTGTCCGCTTTGGCACTTTGGTAACTTGTGTCGCCTTTTACTTTTGCCATTTTTCAACCTGTCACTGCAAGATGGGAACATCTCTGATGATTATGTTTTTATTTTTCTGTTTTTAAGGAGACAAAGTTTTTTTGTTTGTTTTTGTCATCTGTTTGTGGATTGTTCTGATGTTCTCTCATGGAAAGAAACAAAAAGTTATTAAAAAAAAACTTTAAACTGATTAAAGTCCATCTGTTCTTATATGAGATGAAATGACAGCTGGAACGGGTTCTGGTGGAAAACCCGAACATCTTTCATTCACAAATATGTAGATATTTGGTTATTTTGACTGATAAAGTAATTTTTTTCATTATTTTGTGACCTGCACAGTCATAGGGAAGACTACTGTATTGTTACAGAGTTGACCACAAATGGTAATTGCTGTAAACAAGATTTACTTTCAGAGTAATGGAAAATTGAGTGGAAGGAAAAACTTGTAGGTCCAGTGTGAAGTTTGCATCAGCATTGATTTGAAAAAGAAATACGACTGTAAGCCTCAAGACCCATACATGCACAGACACACACAGAAAACTTTACAAAGAATGAACTGATGCACATTTAGGTACAAAAACAACTTGCACAACATGAAACATACAAAACTTTATTAGGCTGCAGATTATATCTGAGAGCTGCAAACAAGTATTCCACTGAAATCCAGATTAACTACAGAAATTGGATGTTGCTTGTTGTTTTCACACAGGTGTGTACTAATAGAGTATAAGCCAAAAAAAATAAAAAAAATCAGTACATATGTACAAATAGAACACAAGAATTGTAACTGGTTGCTCGTACAGTTATGCTAAAAAATAAAATAATAAGACAAGTTTTAAAATTAACTCAGAGTCAAACTCAGTCTCTGAGGCATTTTTTTGAGAAAACAAAAAAGTGGCACAAAGATCTGACATTTAGGGAAAATAACGCAATATTAATACGGCTTTATTTTTCTTCTTTTTCTCCATTTCATTAAGACTGAAGGTTAATGCAAATATGCCGTCTTCATTTAAATGGTACTTTACAGTTACACAGGGATTCAAGGAACAACAAGCCTGGAAACAACTACGTTCATTGTACAGTAGCTGGTAAAAAGCAGAGAGGCAGAGTCAAGAATACTGAAACAGCTGAAGGGTCAACACGATTTACCTGTTTTCTTTAAGGAGACCAATAAACGTGACGCACCTCAGGTGTGAGGAGGATCTGCACTGCGAAGCTGATGTGTGGTTGACGGGTTTGCTACTCCTTACTGAACTTCAGGTACAGTTCTCTGCATTCATCCGGAGCTCCGTTTAAAAAAAAAAAAAACAGGTCCTCTTTCTTGTCTTGCATCACAATGTAGAAAAAAAACCCAACATATATTATATAGAAAGGTGAATAATAGGCCAAAAATATCCCAAAAACAAAAACTGAATTAGCAGTCGCTTTTCCATAGCTTGATGGTTTTGTCGTTTTCTAAAGCAGCAGATGCGATGATGTTCTCTGTCGGGTGGCAGGCGGTCGAAATGACGACGTCTGAGCAGAAATGTGGAAAAAGGTTAAAAGGTATAATGTGCAAGTAATCTAGCGAAACGGAGGTGGAAGCACCATGCTTTGGGGATATTTTTCCACTTATGTTTTCCTGACTGATCAAAAACATTAATTGTAATGACACAAAAAGCAAATTTGGAGTTAAGACTTCAAACCCAGCAGGGAATCAAACAGACAACTCGTGTGCTGTACCTGTGTGGCCCTGCAGTTTCTGCACGATCTCCTTCGTCTGCAGGTTCCAGATGTAAACCATGTTGTCCTCAGAGCCGGACACAATCCACTGCAGGACAGCGGCCAGAGAGTCACGTTTAGCCACTCGTGACACCGTACACACTCTGAGACAAGACGAGACGGGGACTTACCTTCCCTCCGGTGACAGAGAAATTAGCAAAAATGCAGTACTTCTCGTTCTTATGGCCTGTGTACGTCTTCAAGCACTGAAATTATGAGAAACATTCAGGAGGTGATCAGAACTGCAGCTTCACTTGTTTCAAAAACTAAGGCATTCCTTTAAGCAGTCTGGGTGGAAACACTTGACAGACTCGGGTAAAAAGAACGAAAAAGAAAAAAAAATCATTTTTTTTAAAAAACAGATGTTTTCTCACCTTTCCTTTGCTGTAGTCCCACAGCTTCAGCGTGCTGCAAAGACAAACCATGAACACAAACTGTGAAACAAACCCCACAGTCCAGTTTCACGTGGCGTTGTGCTGCCCTCTGCAGGTGAGCGTCGCACACAACCCGAGTGATCAGCCCCTGTAAACAACTTTGCTCTGCAAATGTGCAGCACTCACTTATCCAGAGTAGCTGCCAGGATGTACTTCCCATTGGGAGAAAACTTCACAAACGACACAGGAGGGTTGTCATCGTCTGTTGGAAGCGGGAGCAACGTTAGCAAACAAATCTGAGCCTGTTAGGATTCCTGTCTGTGTTTCTGACTGGATGGTTCTCATTTCATCTACGTGATATTTCTGGAGCTCAGTAGGGAGCAGCTGCAGGTGGATGTGTCAGTTATTATAATACCGACGATATTAGAAACGATTTTAAGGTCTGCTGTTGAATAATTCACGCAACGGAATAATATTTTATATTGGTGCATCAGGAAATCATTGAAAAGTTCATTTATTTCAGTAATTAAATGTATAACTTGTATAAAGTCAGATATAAGGGATATAATTCAAGCCTCTAAATCAGATTGTTTTGATGTTTATAAAAGTCCAAGATTATGTTTGTATATAAAAAAAAACTGCATTACATGCTAGGATTTTTAATACAAACAAAAAAAATGGGAAGACTGATGACTGTCGCTGTCTTTTCAGAGATGTATGGAAAGTTTGGTGGAAGGAAAACGTGGTAAAACCACAGCTGTAGAGGAATATGAATCTCCCTCATAGGGGAACTGACAGTCACAGTTCTGCTTCACAATCCTCTCAAGGCTTCACGCTACATTTGTTGCTACTGTACCTTTTCCCTGCCTCACTTTTTCCTTCCACCTAACTTTCTAAAGTCAAAACTCATCACTAAGTGCAACAATCACTTTTTGAATCCACTCATCGAATCTATTGGCAAAATAACTTCTTGACAATGTTAAAGTCTATTGGTTTATCTTTTGTGTTTTTGTGGCTGATCTTACCAATGAGCGTTTTTAAACACTGCCCCGACGCCGTGTCCCAGATTCGGCTGGAATAAGAACAAAACTGTTAGTTAGCAAGACAAACACAAGTAAAATAAAAACAGAATCTCAGAGCGGAGCGCTTTACCAGAGTCCGTCGTAGCTGCTGGACACGATCAGAGAGCCGTCTCTGTTGAAGTGAACCTGCAGATTTAAGCAGATTTCACGTTTTCCTGTTTCAG